TATATAAAATATATTCATATAATTAATTAAAAATTTTTAATATAAATTTAAATATAAATTTTTATTTTATAAATAAAAGATTGTAATTATGAGTGAGGAATCTGATTCTGTTGTGATAATTAAAGCAAAATCAGTTCGTAAGATATTTAAAGCTCCAATAAAAATAAATAAAATTCCTGAAGAAATTTTAAATGACCCATTATTAAATGCGGCAATTGTTGCATTACCTTCTAATTATAATTTTGAAATACATAAATCAATATGGAGAATTAAAGAATTGAAAGTGAAAAAAGTTGCATTACAAATGCCTGAAGGACTTTTAATGTATGCTACAACTATAGCTGATATTATAGAAAATTTTACAGGTGCAGAAACTATTATAATGGGAGATGTTACTTATGGTAAGAAATTATATAATAATAAAAAAATAATTTTTAATCTATTGATCTTTTATAAGATATATATATGTAAATATTATGAACATATTATGTAATAATATATATGTAATAATATAATTACAAACTTTATTTTTTTTTTTTATTACAAATTGATAATCAATATAGGAGCATGTTGTATAGATGATTATACTGCGAAAGCATTAGATGCAGATTTTTTAATTCATTATGGACATTCTTGTTTAATACCAATTGATCAAACTGTTGGTATAAAAGTACTTTATATATTTGTTAATATCAAAATTGATACTTCACATTGTATTGAATGTTTACAAACTACATTACCAGTTACAACGAAAATTGGACTTGTAAGTACTATACAATTTGCTGGTGCATTACAAATAATTGCAATGGAAATGAGAAAGAATGGTTATGAAGTATCTACTCCACAAAGTAAACCATTAAGTCCTGGCGAGGTATTAAATTATAAATTCAAATTAAACTCTTTTTTTATTAAAAAATAATTAGATTATAATTTGTATATTATAAGAAAAACTTATTATTACATAAAGATTTTAGGTTGTACAGCACCACAAATTCGATGTGCTGATGTAGTTATTTATATAGGAGATGGCAGATTTCATTTAGAAGCAGCAATGATTGCTAATCCAAAATTACGAGCATTTCGATATGATCCTTATGAAAAGAAATTGACAGAAGAATTTTATAATCATGATCAAATGCTAGAAAATAGATTAACAGCAATTAAATATGCAAAAAATATTAGAAGATTTGGATTGATACTTGGTACTTTAGGAAGACAGGGAAATCTTAATGTTTTGAAGAATTTTGAAAATAAAATTAATTTATTAGGAAAAGAAAATGTTATTATATTGCTTTCAGAAATATTTCCAGATAAAATTAAATTATTTAAGAACATTGATGCTTTCATACAGGTTTATGATTTTTTATTTTCCATATATATAATATATTAATATGATAAATATATATACATATTATATAATTTCTATATTATAGATTGCATGTCCACGATTAAGTATAGATTGGGGAACAGCTTTTGAAAAACCATTTCTTACACCATATGAAGGAGCAGTTGCTTTAAAAATGATAAACTTTAACAATGATAAACCATATCCTATGGATTTCTATGCTTCAACTAGTCTTGGACCATGGACTCCTAATTATAAAGAATCTGAATTAGAAAAACAAATTGACACTTGTTGTGGTAAATGTAAAGATAAAGCATAAATAAAAATCAATTAATGTTTAATTTAATATTATTAAAAAATGTTATTTTTTTATTTAAAACTATATTTTTGTATTATAATTTGATAAAAATTATATTACTATATATATTTATTTATTATTATTCAAAAAGTAATTAATAATAAAATCAGAATTTTAATGATTTTTTTAAACTTTTTCTATGAAGAAGTTATAATAACTTTTTATTATAATTTAATAAAAAAAATATTTGTTATTTTTTGCTTTATTTTTTACGATATATTTTAATATATTTAACTTATATAAAGCATAATTTATATTTAATTAATAATAATTAATAATTTTATGTATCGTATATTTATTATATTTAAGTAATTTCTATTTTATGTAATTTACGATAACATATGATTACAATAATATAGAAAGGCCCGCGTGGGCGAATTACGTCATACGCCCACCTGTAGCCACACATATAAAATCCTCTTTTGATTTGTACAATAGGTGTATAATACAAATATGATTATTATACATTGCATAAATTTCTCTATACTAGAATTTGTAAATTATTGACAAATTTATATTAAAAATCATATTATTTTATTACGTATATCTATACATTTATATAAAAATTCCATTTTTAATTTGTAAATAATGTCGTAAATAAAAAATTATAATTAAGAATATTATTCAATTTTTAATCTTGCTATTATTATATCACTATAAGCAAATTAAAGATATAACTCTTTTTTCAAATAGATATTAAATTATAAACTAATTTTTATATAAATAAATGAAAATTTGAGAAAAATAAATAATTTTTAAAAAATTACTAAGAAAAAGTCACAGGGTAGATGCATAGTTTCCAGGGGTGGAAGGCTGTTTCGGCCGCACCCCGATGGCAGTCGTCATTTCAACGTGGCTCAACAAGTACACGCGGTTGTATATAGTTGATTTAAATATTTGAAAATATATTGTATAATGTAAATTAACTATAATCTTATTTATTAATAAATTGAAAAAAAGCGCAATATACATGCTTTATTAATATTAAAAAATTTAAATATATTTATCATTCTTATATTTTATTTCTTCATTGATCTGTTAATAATAAAACACATAATAAGTATTTTAATAAATTGTAAGTATATAAATATTATTTTAATGTTTCTGTAAATAAAATATCTATTCTATTTAATTTTCATATTAAATATTATTTTTTATATTTATTATTTCTTATAATTAAGTTATTAAATATTATTTATAAAATCATTTTATCAATTATTTATTTAAATTTAATCATTTATTATTAAAGTTTAAAATAATTAATAAAAATAAAAATGATTTCATATAATAATATTTTCAAAAAGGATTTGAATGACATCAAAAGTAATGAACGGGGATAACTGGAATGAAAAATGGCCTAAACAATCACAAGCTAATAAAACAATACGTCGAAATAGTAAGCGAACTGAAAAATTAAAATTATCAAACTCATCTAAAGGAACAACACCTAGAGAAAAAACTCTTAGAAGATTGGAAAGCAACGAGAGGGAAAGAATGAGAATGCATAGTTTGAATGATGCTTTCCAGGTAGATATAGTTATAATAATTTCTAGTAAAAGTACTCCATTCTATGAAAACTTAAATAATTATATTTATAGTCTTTACGTGAAGTAATTCCACATGTATCGAAAGAAAGACGATTATCTAAAATTGAAACTTTAACTTTGGCAAAAAATTATATAGTTGCTCTTACTGATGTAATATGTGCCATGAGAAATGAAGAAAAAGCTATAGATCCACAATCAGAAATTTCTGAATCTCAAGAATCATCAAAAAATATGAATATTTGTCTAAATATGAATATTCCAATTCCTTCAAAATCTTGTAGTTAGGAGAATATAAATATTTATTGAAATCATTATTCTTTGCAAAGAAACAATTCTAAAAACGATTGCAGGTCTCAAAAATAATATAATATATTTCTTAATATTAATAGGAAAAATAATATTGACATAATAAATTATTTTATTTTTATTTATTAAAAATTTATTTTCACATATTTCATTAAATAATTTATAGTAAATCAAAAAATAATAAATTTATATCTAATATTCATCTTATCTATTTTAATTTTACTATTCAGTAATATTAAAGAAATTATAGTGCCAAAAAACATACTCTAAATTTTCGAATAAAATATTGTGTTATATTATTTATAATTTATTTATATATTAAGTTATAATATTAAGAAAAATTAATAGTATGATATAAAAAAATATTTTATTTAAATTATAAATTATATTGTTGATGTATATAGTAATTAAAAATGCTTACACTATAATTTATAATTATGTGTGAATTAAATATTAACAACAATTAATAATTAACAAATATGAACAATTTATAGAATATATAATATTATAATTTGTTAAACGATATTATTTTTCATATATTTATGTATAAAGAAAGAAAAAATAAAAATATATTTTACTTATGTGTTTATTTTTGTTTTTTTGTTTTCATTTCCATAAATAAATAAATACTATGAAAAATTACAATACTAAATAAAATTTAATTTTTAAGAAACTATTACATAAAATATGAAAAAAATCTAAACAAATATCTTTCACTATTCTAAAATATATTTTAAAATCTAAAATCTAAAATTATCTTTCACTAAAAAAATAAATAATATATTTATTATATACAAATTACTCAAAAATCATTTAAGAAAATTGATTTTCTTACATAGATATATTATTATATATTACATTATTGTTCTTTTGTCAATATATTAAAAACCATAAAATATTTTAAATTAATTTACAGTAAAAGATATAGGCCAAGTGTTTAAGTCTTGTAAATCAACTAATACTCCAGTTTGTGTTTTGGAAAATTTTGGAATACAAATTAATCTTATTGTTTGTCCTTCTTCTGCTGTAAACATATTTTATTTTACTAAAATTATTTTTTTATAATAAACATAAAAATAAGTATATAATAAAAATACAAAAATATAATAATAAAGATAATATAATATAAAAGACATAAACTTACCAGTATATATTTTAGTATCATATTTATCCATATTACCAACAAAGTATATATCAGGACATTCTGTTATAATAAATGGATCAATTTTGCTAGATGAATAAGTTGGAGTAGTATCTGGTGCAGTTGGTGCATAATGACACCAGAGTAAAGTACGTTCTAACCATATTAAAGGTGAAATATCAACAAGTCCAGCGATTTTCATAATATCCATAATAGGTTGGCCACTGGATCCAGCTATAATGCGAGAGTTTATACTACCAACCCATGGATTAGTAACTCCATAAAAACTTTTAAACCTATCATATCATATATATGTCAATAATTTGTATCTATTTAATATATTACTATATATTATATATTATATATTACTATATATTTTCATAGTTATCTTAAAAACAATACCATTAATCATTCCATAGCAATAAAATTATATTAATATATATAAATCAAAAATCCATATTGCTTCTATATCATCAATGGAGATAAGTATATACATATTTGTAAAATGAAAATAAAATCAAAAATAAGAAATCAAATGTCATGAAAATCAAATAAAATATTTTAATCTTCAATTTTATATATATTATATATATACACAAAAAAAGGAGACAAATATAACATTATTTCTATATATGATTTATAGCAATGTTTTTGTATTAATTAATAAGATTATATTACCTGGAACATTCTGGTAAAATACATGGATGAAATGGTTGCTGAGGTAATCTATGACATGTTGGGTCAAATTCTCCAGGCATTAATAATATAGGGCAACACTGTGCTATAGAATGAAGAAAATTATCCAATTTATGTGTTACATTTGCAGTTTCTTTAAATATAGCTTCATTATGTAACTTAGTTTCAAAATAATTTTTGTAACTGTATGTCTCTATAGATCCTCTTATACTATTTCCTATATTAAAATATTGTTTATTCTTTATTACAAATATTATTTTCATTAACATATATTAAATATATTAAATATACCTGCTATAATAATACACACAATAGAAGCCACTTCTTTATGAACTTCCTCACAGCCAATCATTCCAGTAATCCATTCAAATAATAAATTTATACTTAACGACTGTAAATTATTTGCTAAATCTAAACCAGAAATGATCAAAATTTTTCCTAGTTTTTCTAGTGGTTGAGAATTAAAGATTGATAATTTCGGGCAACATCCTGGAAAACACCAATCTGTTACCTGTAATTAATGTATTTTATAAACAAAATATCTATTATATCTCAAATAATTTTTAATTTGTAATTATATCTATTTTGTAATTTTTATTATTTCTGTAAATTATATAAAAGTAATATTTACTAAAAATGCACCATTTTCCAATTCATGACCACATACAGCGCAAACTATACCAGTGACTATATTTTGAATATTTTTATGAATCCCAACCAATTTAATGCGTAATGTTTCATCTTCTAAATATAATATATCTTTAAATGATGCATAATTTGTTCTAGTTGGTTGAGGTATTAATTGAAGTTCTTTACTAAGTTCATTTAATATTGATGGTCTTAATTCTTGATGTTTATACAAAGTACCTATTATGACACAAGTATTATTTTGATTTCTTTCACAAAGTTGTGATAATGAAACTATTTCATAATGCGCTAAAATAAAATATTAAGAATTAGAAAATATAACAATATAAATATAACCTAAACCAATAATAAATATAACCTTTATAAAATATTTACCCCATTTAATTTTTACTTTTTGTAAAATGTGATTTTTCAATGCTTTTAATCTTGCATTATAAATGTTACAATATTGTTGTTTAGAACATTGTGTAAAAATTTCAAATTTTTTAAAGTCATCGAATTTAAATAACTTGCGATTGTATTTAAATTGTGGAACTTCCATTTTAGATTTTTATTAAATGTTTCGAATGATGTATAAATTTATTAATAAATTCAATATATTAACAAGTATTAATTAATATTAAATAATTATAAAATAAAATTATAATTAAACATAAAAAACAAATTTAATTTTTTTTTTAAATCATTGTATAGTATCAAAAAAGATATTTTTATTTTATTATTAAAGCAAAATATTAAATGTGTATATTAAATAGATCAAATATATTTTCTAAAAATTTAGATTGAAATGTAAAAAATTGAAATTAGAAAAATTTATTAAATTTAAATAATAATTTAAATTACATATAAACAAAAGTATTAATTAATAACTTTTATTTAAATATTATTATATTATTTATATAATTATATATTATTTATATAATTTATATAATTAAATTTATGTAAACTAAAGGATTATTACTATAAAAAGAAAAACATTTACTTACTTTTTAAAATTAAACAATTTTTATATATAAAGTTTATTTTTACATCAATGTTATCAAAAAATTTTATGTAAATATATTATTTTATAAAAGTGGATACCAAATCTTAAATACTAATAATGCATATCAGGCAATTTATTTTACACTAATATCAATACTTATTATGTATTGATTATAATATAAATAAAATGTGATGCACAACCTTGAATACATAAATATTGCATGAGCCAATAAAAGAATACCTTACATTTTAAATTAGATACTATCCAATATTCTACAATACATAAAATATTGCAAATTAATTAAAAATTATGCAGGATTTGGTGGCAAGCCCATTGACCAAGTATCTAACAACTTCTTATCATGAGGACCAGCACCTAAACTAAGCATAAGACCAGAAAGATCTCCATTATGACCACGTCCTCGCATGGCATGAACTACTTTGGCAATACTACAATTAAAATGAAAAATTTTTTTTAATTTAAAAAATCAATTATTCAATATTAATATAAAATATGCATGTAATTATACTTTGCCCATTCTTCTTGTAATGCAGCAAAATGTGCTTTCAGGGCAGAATTTCCAAGTTTCTCATTTTCAAGTGATTTTTCAATTTTTGTTAATAATGTTGGTAACTTTAGTGGTAATGTACCTGCCCATCTGACGATATGTGAATTTGAATTTTCAACTTTATGTTCATCAGCAACAATATCTAATCTACATACATTTACACAAGGTAAAGGCACAGCTACTGATGTATCAACACCTAGAATAAAATTATTTATAAAATATTTGATATAATAGCTATTATAATTTATAATATATATTATAATATATATTATAATTTAATATTTTTCTAAGCATATATAAGTACCAATAAAGTTACACTTATTAGGATCCATATATTCTGTTGCATGAGTTTTGACTCTTCTACATGCACGTGGAATAAGAGAACTAAGACCATATAAAGATTCCAATCTTTGAATATTCGGACCTCTTACTAAAATTTGAACACCTGTTAAACTAGAATATAAAAGTTGCCTAAATTGATCTTTTCCTAATACAGCTCTTAAATCTTTAAGTATCAATGTAGTGGGTTTTCCTAAAACTTCTGAAAATTCAAGTGTTGTTTCTGATTCATTTGAGTTTAAGGTTAAATTTATAGGTAATTTAGCATTTACTAAAGTAAATCCATCTTCAGTTTCTAAAAAATAAGAAATACAATTTCATATAAAATATGCACATTTATTTTTTCTTATAAATATATTATTTTATACTAACCAATCTGATGTTCCAAGTTATAATTCAATTCATCATCTAATAAGTTCATAGGAAAAATTTCTATGAAATGTCTTGCTCCTGCACTAAGAATCCATACCAACCACATGTGGATTCTAATTTGATTTTAATTTATTAGTATCTTTTTAAGTATTACATATTTATATATATATAAAGAAAACTATAAAACATAAAACAAACCTTATAAAAACATGTTTTTCATTGGTTATATCACTAAAAGTTCTAGGCTGTTTGTTGGAATTATTATATGATCCTGATCCATTATTAGTTGATAAACGAACAATTCTTTGTGGGCATTCTGCTTCTTCTGCATTATACTTTTTTTCAGCAA